TCATCTATTAATTTATCAATCTATTAGTTACACACATTTACTATAAACTTATTTGTTTTTCTCTTCCTCCCTTAGTATTACATGGAAGGTGGTGGTGATGATGTGCCATGGAGTCGGTTCTGACTCATAGAAACCCTGTACAGCATTTCCGAGGCTGTAAATCTTTACAGGAGCAGAAAGCCTCATCTTTCTCCTGCGGAACAGCTGGTAGTTTCGAACTGCTGACTGTGAGATTAGCAGCCTGACTCATAACCACTACACTACCAGAGCTCCTTTACAGAAGAATAATGGCATTATTCAAACAAGACTGTCAAGAAATAACAGCTCTCAGAGATGGATACATGCCCATTGGGACTTCACAGCTCTTCTGTGGGGAGAAGGTAAAAATATCTTTGTGTTAGTATGAAGGGTAGATACACCTTGTTCGATAAAGGTGTACATTTATTATTTTTGTTGTCTAGAAGCTTTGATGTTTGGAGAAGAGTGTAGTGTGTCTGGGTACTGAGTGACAAAAGGGGTGGACTGTGTCTGTTATGCAGCTAGTGACTCACTACACAAACCCTACCCTTCTGTGCCCGGCTGTGATGCTGGGACAGTGAGCTACACTTCTACTTTGTCAGCTGGCTCCTAGTGAGGTGCTGCAAAGCACAGGGTGGAGAGAAGACACACTCGATTCGGCTTTGCTTGCTGCTCAGTGTCATTTCAACAGTGGCATTTCTCTTGTAGTTTCCATTTTGTTTTGTTTCCACACCACGAAACAGCTTCACTATTCTCTCTTCAGAGGCTCCCTAGGCTGTGCTGTCTCCTCAGAGGGCTGGGGCTCAGGTCTGCAGGGCCCTTCCTCTGAGCTCCTAAGGAACCACGCCAACTGGGCAGTGTCCTCTTCCCAGAGGTCTGGGTTGCAGCACCTTGGGGTCCCCCTCCATTAAGCTTTTAGGTTCTAGCAACCCAATCTCTTGCTTTTTTGTTCCCCAGTCCTTGAGGTGGTAACTGCTTTGTGCAATGACTTTCTCTGTTAACTCAGTGCCATCCTTTTGCTTGTTCAGTTCTCCAAAATCATATCAGCAACTTCCTGACAGTAAATTCTGTCTGTTGAAATACCTAGTGTGGTTTCCATGATTTTGACTGGACCTTGACTGATACAAGCAGAAATAAGACACAAAGTGTACCTGCAATGGATCTTATAGTCCAGTGAGTGAGACAGATAGTAAGTAAATAATTGTACAAATGAGTACTTGGTTCCAGCTGACATCAGTGACATGTAGGAAAAGGATCAGGCATATTTGTATATTAAAGGCTCTGAGAAGCCCTTCAGTAAGTGCGCCTGTTTAGCAGTGGTGCAAGTGCTTGGCTACAAACTGAAAGGCAGATGATTGGAAACCACCAGTGACCCTGTGGAAGAAAGATGTGGCAGTCTGCCTCTGTAAAGATTTACAGCCTTGGAAACCCTATACAGGGTTGCTATGGGTCGGAATCAACTCCACGGCACTTAACAACAACAACAACAAACCCTATGAGGCAGTTCTACTTTGCCCCACAGGGTTGTTATGAGTATGTGATGTGTTCTTTTTTTTTAAAGTTTAGCTTATTTTATCCGGAAACTTCATACTGAGTCTATTAATCTCCAGCAAAATAAATTCATGGAAAGGGAAAAATCATTAAAGAAATAGGAGCCAGGAGAATTGGGATGTGAGCATGTACCATGTTTTTCCAGTAGTGCCTAGTATGTTGTTGTTAAGTGCTGTCAAGTCGATTCCAACCCATAGTGACCCTGTATAGGGTTTCCAAGGAGCACCTGGTGAGCTTGAACCACCAGCCTTACAGTTCAAACGACTTTGCAGTCTGAAGCATTAGCCCACAGCGCCACATCAGGACTCCAGTGCCTAGTATAGGCTGGTGGTATCTCAGCTTCAGGATGAAAGAGCAGCTGACCAATTCCCTTTATTCTTGTTCCAGCCCCCAAATCAACTTTCTGACCATCATTGACTTAACAAAGAAAGCAAGGGACATGCAGTCTGGTCTAACAGGGAGTTTCTCATTATAGAACAGGATTTCTTTCGCTCTTTTATAAACTTTTTTAAATTGTGAATTGAGTGAATGTTTATAGAATAGATCATCAATTTCACATTCAACAAACCAGGCACTTTGTTTCTTCTCAAGGATTGTAATTCCCCTCAATGAAACATCACTTTACCCACTTCCTCCCTGTCATTCGTATTTCTATTCCTCCATCTCTCCACACCCTTCTGAAATTTGTCCTTGTGTAAACGCTGCCCTTTCGATATTGAATGGTTGACCAGTCCATGGTGTGTACCTCACCAGTGTTGTTGTTCCCCTGTACACAAATCTACTGTTTGGTTGAAAACTGAGCCACAAAGATGAGTTCAGTTTCAGACCTGAAATGTGACCAAGGGCCACAGTTTCAAAGTTCCTCCAGTCTTTTTCTGACCAGCAAACTTAGTCTTTTTTATAATTTTGAGTTTCGTTTTATATTTTCTCCCACTTTATCCAGGACCTTCTAATGTGATCCCTTGCAAAGCAATTGGTAGCAGTAGCTGGGTACCATCTAGTTCTTCTGGTCTCAGTGTTGTGGAGATTGATGTTCACATGTTCCGTTAGTGCATTAGTCTGTTTGCAAAAATCTAAGATGCAACTATTGGTGCCATAGGGAGAGACCAATAGTTGCATCTTAGATGATCACTCATGAGCTTTTCTTTTGAGTTGGTACAAAGTTTACTAGGTTATATATACAACAAGGCTCACAAAAGCAATGGAAAATTCCAGGGATGGCATTGTTGGTTGGTTGGTTCCTTTTACCCCAATGGAGACAAGACATTTCCCTCAGGATTGCCAACTCCCCCAACAAGACAAATAAAATGCAAGACTGTCACTATAGTGCTATGACTGACACATAATTTGGTACCATTGACATGTCCTGCTGGGGACTTGGGACACTACAAAGCAGTCAGCGGGCAATGGGATGGAAGAAAGCCATGAATGCTACATCCCACACTCTTCAGGTGGCAGCCCTGGGAGGTGGAGTCCCAGCAGTGTCTGCTGGGGACAACACAATTCACAAAGGGGATGTATCCCCAAGGATTGGTGGCAGTGGCTCCTAGGGCCTGTCCCAGGATGTGCCTTTTCATTTTGAACCAATAAATAACTCCCCTGGATGGATGCATAAGTTAGAAATGGGTGTCACTAGGCTTTACACTTGGGGAACACACGACCATGTGGAAATCAAATCATGCAGACTTGCAGGGCAGGTGAGGAGGGATCCGAGGTAACAGATACAGCAGCACATGCTCTATCTTGTACCCTACTTTATATGCCCTGAATTGGATTTTGGGTTCCTCCTGGCTGCGAAGGCAGTTTCCTGCACTGACACATCCCAGCACGATGTACTGGGAGAACCAGCAGGTTCTGCTCCAAGACAGACGTACTGGAAGAGCTGCAGACTGGGCATCTTGGGTGCTCAGCTACTCGGGGGCATTTCTCCTTGCAGCTATGTGCTAACGGCTGTGACAAGAGCAGTCCCTTGCCACTACCATCTCTGACAACAGGAAGGACAGACACATTAGCTGTGGTGACAGTTTCTTCATGATTGGTGCATACACGTGCTGTTAAGGTCCCAGTCACTACTCACCAAAGTAGGATATAGAACATTGTCTTTGTGGATTATGTTACACCAATTGACCCTGATGTCCCCCAAGACTGTAGTCCTGAGCCCCAGGCCCAGCAACTCATTCCTTCAAGGTGTCTAATGATGTCTAAGTTTTCATAATTTTGTCCCCTGTATTAGAGCAGGGTCTTTAGAGAAACTATCAGTCTCTGAAGCAAAGATTATGTGCAAAATGGTGTGTGTGTGTGTGTGTACATACCCAAGGATGTTTGTAGGTGTGAGGGCATTTTTCTAGGCAGATGGTTCATAGCTTTTCTTATTCCTAGTGGGATTGTGACTTCAGAAAGGAGAAAGATTAGGAATCACTGTGCTAAAGAAAAAAATATTCATGTTCTTATTTGTACATTGGCTTCCTGTGAGTTTGGTCATTCATTGTAAATCAGTCTTTCGCAGTCTGATCAGCCTTGGGTTCACTCACCAGTCTGAGGTTCGGGGCCGTCCAAGGTACTTCCATGGATGAGGGGCAATCAGTCTTGTTGGACTGCCTGGTCTCTTTCATGGCTAGGTCTCTGCATATACCGTCTCCTCTGTCAGGGAAATCCTCTCCCCTAGCTTGTGGCCATCTCTTAGTCATACTTCAGGCCTCACATTGGGTGTCATTTCTTCCTTGAAACCTTCTTTAACTTTACAATTCTGGATTAGGTAGCCCTTCTTTGTGCTCCTATAGTGCCATTCCCACTTTTCTGGGACTCCCATTTTTATTCCCTAGCTGGGACCATATATTTTTTTCTCTCAGGCTACTTAATGCTGATGTGGAGTCCTGGTGTGGCACTGTAGGATAAGCACTCCACAAGGTCGGTTTGAACTGCAAGGTCAGCAGTTCAAACTCATCAGCTGCTCCTCAGAAACCCTATACAGGGTCACTTTGGGTTCGGAATCAACTCGATGGCACTTAACAACAGTACTGATGCAATCAGCCATTTCTAGTAGTTGCCTGCTACCTGACAGAATATAAGCTCGCTGAGGAAGGGAGTTTGTGCTCACCTTTCCCCAGCTTTAATGCCAGCACCAGGCATAGTTTCTCTTAACACGTGGGTGCTAATTACAAAGTGTAGGAAAGAATGCCTGCAAAGTTGAAGTTTTTCATCCTTTCTCTCTGTGCTCTACCTGTGTGCAACCAGTTAGATCACTAATGTCATTTATCTTGCTCTGTGACTATGAGCGGACCTGCCAGCCACGACTGTCACTTTTTGCCTTTAGCAGCAAAAGTTTCTTTCTCACCAAAGATACCCATGTGAGTATGCACACATATGCACCAATCTATGTGTGGATGTTGAGAAGAGAAAACACATGTTGCAGAGAACTGGAATAAACCTACCTGCATTTCTCAGGAAGCGGTTCCTGTAGTCTCTGATCATCCTTGTGACTGGGTTATAGAACCCATCACCACAATCATAACAGTTCCTGGGGATTTTTCTAGGTGGGTCCATGTTGGTGAGTTGAGCGATACCTTGAAAGGACATAATGGACATTTACTTTACCACTCAGGTCAAATCCAAACCCAAGTCCCCCACCCAGAGTCCACTTTTGCTCATGTGACTCTTTAGCTCCACTGTTGGAACAAACATTCCCTATTCATGATACGAGGAATCCTGGTGTGGCACTGTGGGTTAATGGATTGGACTGCCAAGTTGGTTTGAATCACAAGGTTGGCAGTTCAAGCTCAACAGCTGCTCCTTGGAAACCCTATGCAGGGTTGCTGTGGATCAGCAACAACAACAAAATCCTGCTATGAAGGAGCCCTGGTAGCATAATGGGTTATGAGTTGGGCTGCTAACCAAAAAGTCAGCAGTTTGAATTTACCAGCCACTCTGTAGGAGAAAGATGAGGCTTTCTATTCCTGTAAAGATTTACAGCCTCGGAAACCCTATGCAGGGTTGCTATGGGTCGCAACTAAGTCCGTGGCACACCACCACCACCATTCAGGGTATGGAATCTTGGTGTGGCACTGTAGGATAAACACTTAACTGTTTACCACAAGGTCGGTGGTTCGAAAACCCTATACGGGGTTGCTATGAGTGAGAACCAACTCAACGGCATTTAACAACAACATTCAGGATAGAGTTAGGATTGGGCTGCTAACTGCAAGGCCAGTGATTAAAACCCATCAGCCACTCAATGGGTTACAAATGAGGCTGTCTGTTTCCATAAAAACACTTAGTCTCAAAAACTCTGAGGAGCAGTCTACTCTGTCCTATACTGGGTTGCTGAGCTGGAATCGATTTGATGGCTGTGGGTTTTGGTTATTCAGGATATAGAGTAAGAGCAGCATAAACAATGGTCCAAAGGAACTTTTTGAAAATGGTCCTGTGTTCAGGGTCTTGGGAACTAGATCACCTCGCTCTTGTTTTCTAGTGACACCATGACAAAGGGCATAGGTTCTGGAGCCAGAGAGACCCTGAGGAATACATTCAAGTCAGATCAGCTGTCCGCATAGGAGGGCTGATGCAAAAGAGAGACAGTATTCATGGCAAAGGCCAAAGGGCAAGAACCATGATGTCTCACTTAGAAAACTTGTAGAGCAGGGCATATATGAGAGAGGATGAGTAGGAAAGAAATGGGGACAGGTGGAAAAGGACCTAGTAATGAGGACCTTAAACGTCACCATAATTATAATAGCAGCTGCCATTATTGAGTGCTGATTGTGTTCTAAGCATTCTGCTAAGTGTTTGATGACTATAATTTCATTTCCTCATCAATCCTGTGGCCCCATTTTACAGGTAAGAAAACTGAGGTTCAAACAAATGAAGTACTTATCCATGGTCATCTAGTTAGGAAACAGCAGATCTAGAATTCAAGCCTAGCAGCCAACACTGTAACCAGAACTGACATCAGAGGAGGCCTGGGAATGGCCCCCAGGACCATGGGCATCTGACTACAGGAGAGAAAGAGGACTCTCTTTTTTAGGTCATGTCATGGTGTGCTGTGCATCTTAGAATGCTGTGGCTGAGGAAAGGTGGAAGGTTGGCAAAATTGGCACAGCAGGATAAGCACTCGACCTCAAGGTTGGTTTGAACTGCAAGGTCAGAGATTCAAACTCACCAGCCACTCCTCAGAAACCCTATACAGGGCTGCTATGAGTTGGAACTGAGTTGATGGCACTTAACAACAATGTGGGCAAAATACTGAATGATGAAGAAAGCATCAAAAGAAGATGGAAGGAACATACATTCATTGTACCAAAAAGAAATGGTCGCTGTTCAGCCATTTCAAGAGGTAGCATATGATCAAGAGCCAATGGTACTGAGAAAAAGTCCAAGGTGCACTGAAGGCATTGGCAAAAAACAGGGCACTGGGAATAGATGGAATACAAATGGCAATCTTTCAATAAACTGATGCAGCACTGGAGGCACTCGCTTATCTATGCCAAGAAATTTGGAAGACAGCTACCTGGTCAACTGATTGGAAGAGATCCATATTCATGCTCATTCCAAAGAAAAGGTGATCCAATGGGATGCAGAAATCATTGGTCAATAAATATCATTAATATCATATGAAAGTAAAATATTACTGAAGATAATTTTAAAATGGCTGCAACAGTACAGTGACAGGGAATTTCCAGAGATTCAAGTCAGATTCAGATGAGGACATGGAATATGAGGGGTATAACTGATGATGGATGGATCTTGGCTGAAAGCAGAGAATAATAGAAAGATGTTCACCTGTGCTTTAATGACTATACCAAGGCTTTGAACTGTGTGAATCATGACAAGCTATGGATAACACTGCAAAGAATGTGTATTCCAGAACACTTAATTGTGCTCATGCGTAATCTGTACATAGACCAAGAGGTACTTGTTCGAACAGAGCAAGAGGACACAGAATGGTTTAAAATTAGGAAAGATGTGATCCAGGGCTATATTATTTTACCACACTTATTAAATCTGTGTGCTGAACAAATAATCTGAGAAACTGGATTATACGAAGAACAATGTGACATCAAGATTGGAGGAAGATCCATTAACAACCTGCAATATGCAGATGATAATGAA